AGTAAACGTCATATCATGGATCATAATGCAGCTTGTTCATTATAGTTCCCCACATTCAGTAAATACTATTATTATTAGGAACTTGGAAAGGCTGAGCTTCAATTTTGTCCTGCAATAATTTGAGTGGCAAAGCTTAGTGAGGCTGGCCAAAGTCCTTGTTGGAAAAGCAATATTTCTAGGTTAATAAAGATCTTTTAAAATCAGACATGACTGCCTCCTGATATATTGTGTTAATAAATCTGTTCATCCTGCCTTTGGAATCATTTTTTAATCAAGAAAAAGCTTTCCCCCGCTGTTTTTCATAAATGAAAATCTACATTAAAAGAAAAAAAAAACTGTATTTCAATATTCATTCTGTGTTATTGTGAATTCAAGAAGACAAATCTGTTGACAGCCCTTTCTGACAGGGAACTGAACTAAAAGCCATTGTTAACTATGATCTCTTTAAACCCAGACAACCTTGACAAAAAAAGTAATTTTACCTCACCAAACAGAAGAGCTGCTGGTCTACTGCTGCCTCCAACAGTAAGTTTGTTTGCACTATTGTGTGACTTTGGTAACTTCAAACTGATGCTTTCAAACACCAAGGTCACACAAAAACATTAACAAACTAATTGATCGAGGTAGCAGTAGACCAGCAACTCCTGTGTTCAACTAGGTAAAATTACAGTTTTTATCAATGGAGTCTGGCTTTGATGGGATCATAGTTAATGCCAGATTAACACTTCAGGATATCAGCCCGATTATAACCCGACGCAGTGTCGTACAGTGTCAGCTGGGATCATGAACGACAATGACTGTGATACGCGATTATCCATCATTTCAGGGCCTTCAGCTGCAATGCCTCCAGGCTCTGGAACTCCCTACCTCCACACATTTGCCAGTCCGACAGCATAACATCCTTCAAATCCCATCTCATAACCCACCTGTTCAAACTGACTTATGGACTTTAACAGTGACTGTACCCTCTGCCAGCTGCCAATTCATGTATCTTGCTCTGTACAGTATGTTATTTTATGTACTGGGCGGTGACCTTGGGTGTTTTGAAAGGCGCCTCTTCAGATAAAATGTATTATTATCAAACATTTCAGCTGGGACATGAGCAGCCACAGTGACTGAAATAATAGTAATAATAATAAGAATAGGACAAGAATAACCCGATGACAACATGCATGTTGATGAAAGATGAACTGCAATGATTGGTCGTGGATCCCCATGTAGTCTTTCATGTCTGTTGGCCAAGTCTTAGAGAGAACTGTCTGTTTGGGAAGTACCATATGACTAGATACATGAGACTTGGATTATACTGCATGAGTTGTGTGAGAGATTGTAAAGGGATGTTTTCATATCATTTTGCTGTTGAACGTGGACCCCCATGACTTCAATTCATCAAGAACTTCACTCTTCACTGGAGGCAAGTGAGAAAAAAAATCTCTTCACAAATTCAAATAACACAGCGTGAGTTATTATTGATATTCAAATGGTTGTTTGGGGGGCAAAGTGTTCCTTTAAACCTGAGGCCAAGAGAAACCCATGGATCAGGCTAGGTCTCTCCGTGATCTCGTTAGATCTCGGAGAGACCTAGCCTGATCCATGGGTTCTCTCTAACTGGTATGCAAATCGCACATAGCACTTTGAATTGCACTTTACAAACTCTGTCCCCCACCCCCACCCCCATGCAAAAATACTTGTCTGACTGACGTATGCTCTTAGGTTTTTATTTTTATTTATCTGTGTGTTTTGTTACTCATGCAAATGTACTTTTTGCAAATGTACTTTCTGGAATTTGTTTATAATGCCTGTGCCTGCGGCAACCCAATTTGCCCATATTGGGACATAATAAAGTTGAAGTGAAGTGAAGTGAAGTGAAGAGCAGCAGGATGATGAGCTCCTGTAAAGCTGCGGTATTTATGTCATGAGCGGGAAGGTGAAGGCCATGTGGGAGAATATAAAAGGCACACTTCATTGAATAAATCAATACGGAGCCTCGTAAGCGCAGATTAACCACCTCTTGGTAATCAGCCAAGGAGAAGCATGTTGATTCGGGTTCATTTGCCAAAGGTTGCTTTTCATAACACCTTGTATAAAGATAGAGAGCGCAGAAATCTCGGCGGTGGTTTGGATGATTTAAGTGCATTCCTGCTACAGTTAATTAAACAGGCCAGAGAGTGAGAGGGGGATTGCTTTGAAATTCTAATCCCCTGATAGACATTCAATTAAGGTTTTGACAGTTTTACAACAGCTGTTTGTCTTGTTGAAATACACGCCGTAAATACGGTACAGCAAACCCCCTACTCACCTCAAATCACACAGATGAAGAGGAAGTAACACGTTCATGTAAAGGTGTGCATCAAGTTTGTTCCTCTTTGGTTGCTTTAAGCTTGTTAAAATGATGTTATTCCACACTGTCTGACTCATTTATTCTGTATCAGTTTATTCCAACTCTTTACTGAAGCTATATAGTGTTTACATTGAGTGAAATATGTTTTTACAGCTGTGTTTTTTATTGATTTCCCCCAAATTCAGACTGGAATATTTGGTATCTCCCAGACTCTGGGATCTGCACCAGAATCTTAAATAAAGTGATTTTGGTTTGGACTGACTTTACCATCAACCGATTGAAGGGTAAAATGAATCAGTGCAGAGAAAATGAAGCAGATAAGCAAGGGCACAGATTTCAGGGGAACATATGAAACAGGGGAGACTGGGGGACTTCATCAGGGAATTTTGAGCATCAAACACTTAATGTCCTGCACTCTGGTGTACTTTTATGCACCATGTTGTGGCTTTCCTGCATCACTTTAAGTGGAAATGTCCTTAACTTTGCCAAAATAAAAGCACTTTCATGTTTTTAGCAGGGGTGGGGCAAAGGTAAAATGGTAAATGGACAGCACTTGTATAGTGCTTTTATAGTCTTCTGACCACTCAAGGCGCTTTTTACACTACATGTCACATTCACCCATTCACACGCAGTCACACACTGGGGCTACCATACAAGGTGCCATCTGCTCCTTAATAACCATTCACTTGCACTCACACACCAATAGAAAAGCCATCAGGAGCAGTTTGAGGTTCAGTTTCTTACTCAAGGATGCTTCGACATGCAGACTGGAGGAGCCAGGGATCAAATCACTGATTTTCCGAATTATATTTGTCTTTTCTATCAGTGAAAGTTGACAGTTGAGCTGTATCTGTTATCTGCATTTTCTGTGCTCGCATCTTCAATTGCAAATGTTCCACCAAATCAAGTTTCCCCTCTAAGACACTAGTGTGCAAGGGCACAGTCTCTGCATCCAGAGCTCAACAAATAAACCAGAGCAGAAACCACAAGGAGTATAACATCAGTAGGTTATACTTACCCTGAGAAACACACAGTCAACATAAAAGTCCTCTGCTACTTTCATGTTTTTATTGGGGGTAGGGTAAATGGACTGCACTTGTATGGCGCTTTTCTAGTTTTCCTACCAATCAAAGCGCTTTCTACACTACATGTCACATTCACCCATGGTAGCCGAGGCTACCATACAAGCTGCCATCTGCTACTCAGTAAGCATTTACACATACTCACACAGATGGAACAACCATCAAGAGTAATTTGGGGCTCAGTATCTTACCCAAGGATACTTCGACATGCGGGCTGGAGGAGCCAGGGATCAAACATATGCACATGTTCTAAATTTTGACGGGGACGTTTCCTCTTTGTCCCCCTGAAATCTTTACCATTGTCTGAACCTCATTCCCAGCCATTCCTATTTGTTGAATACCATAACACACCTATTTTTAAGGGTTCTTTGGTTACACTGTCCATGAAACATTACCGACCCAAACAGATTGTGTTGTCATGTTATATCTTCACATTTCTGAAATACTAAATTAGTTGTAAATGCTCTGTTGTAAAACCTCTCTAGATATGTTCCCCTTTAAGACAAATTGAAATGACACCACAAATTACACACAAGAGCATCTGCATTTTCGGACACTTTCTTTAGTGCACTTTGAAACCAGTTTCAAGGGCATCTTCAAGTAGCATTAAAGCACCCTGTTTTCTATGTTGAATCGATATCATCGTGTAGAACTGCCCTCAAAAAGTTCACTATATGGCAGCAAAGTCGACTTTCACATGCATATGCGAGATGATCTAATCTGGTGGAGAACCTTTTTGGAACAGTTTTTTGGAAATGTTTTAACATATACAACCTTTTTGGTGGCTCCTTTTTTTGAGACTATGCCTGAAATCTATGCCTCTGCAGAAAAGACATGTTTGCACTGAGAACAGGAAAAACAATCAAAATGTTGTCCTGTTTTTGTCCAAAATATGGTGCTCATTTTGTTATTTTTCATCAAGGGCCGGATGAAAACCACAGAAAAAGTCTATGTGAAGAAGAAGACACAGCAGTTTGCACTGTGAACACTGAAAATGACATTAATGTCCTTGCTTTTTGGTCCAAAATCCAGCCTTAAGATTTGCATATTTTAACATCCATTTTATTTACTGAAAAAATAACAACAAGCTGGACGACAGCAAGAAGAAAATGTTTAACAAAGAGCGAGCAGCTTGAAGTGGGTGACAGGGTCGCCTAAAAAACACCTGCAGGATTGATTCTACTCACACCTACTGCTTCTCCTACCAGCATGACATCACAGCCTATTCATTGCTGTTAAACATAAAATGTCTGTTGAAATTATTTTACAACCTTTTATGATATTTGGTCTTTGTTGAGAGAGGTGGTTGGAGAGGCAAACAAAAACAGATCTATGATGCATTTCAGTAAATTTGTAGGTCGATTTGTTGTAGTATGTTAGATAAATATTGTGTTTTTATAATGTATTATTGCACATGAACACCTTTGAAATACACATGCATCATTTCCTGCTGCAAAATTATCCGAATTCTGCCAGATGTTTGCAGCTGGCCACGCTGTTCCTGCACTTCACTTTGATGCAAGATCATTACATCGATATAGAAAACGAAAAACACACTGAAATGGAAAATGTCTCACTTGCTCCGACCATCCCCGGTGTTCGCCAGCAGGCCAGCAGCAGCAGCAGCAGCAGCCCGAGGTCCAGGTGGAGAGACGCGGTCATAACCTTCTCTGTCTCCGTGCACGCACCTCTGGCTCTTCTACACGCCTTCTCCTCTTCCTCTCTCCCCTCTTTTTAACTCTCCTGCGTTTCACTAGAAGTTTCCCCACGGGGTCACCACTGTTCCCACATCACCTTCACCTCTTACAACAACAGTCCGCACTGCTTCTTCTTCCTCCCCTGCGTCGGTTTGATTCTCCCAACTCGCACAAAGTAGGTCAGCTGCGATTTCAAAGATGCGGAATGAATATGAAACGACACTTCTCAGTCCCGTCGCGCAGCAGAGGCACCATAATCCCCGAGCCCGGTGAAGCTAACAGGTAGTTCGACCCTTTCCGCCACTTGTCCTCGGTTCTGCATGTAACTAGCGGGCTTGGTTTTGCGTCAAATGTCTGCCGGAGACGCATCAAACCCGCCTTTTCTTCGCGGCAGGTGGAAGGTCGCGGGAGTTTCAGCACCGCGGACAGCGCTCAGGCAGCTCGGCTGTCATTTTCAGCGAGGAAGAAGACATCGGTTTGTTGGATTTATATAAATAACAGAGAAGAAGAAGAAGAAGAAGAAGAAGAAGAAGAAGAAAATGGGGTGGTGTTTCGGCTCACAGGAGGATGATGGAGACGCAGGAGCGCAAAGGGGGTCCGTCTCATCCAGCGCTGGTTTAATCTGACAGATTATGGAAAGCCCGGAGGATGAGAAAATGTCTGTCTACAGGAGCTTCGGTGGTAACTCCTCCAGCCAACCACACACACATCCGAAAACACACAAACACAAGAGGCATGCACGAGACTGACGTTACAAATCCTGTCACTACATTGAGGATGGAGGAGAAGGAGGAGGAGGAATAAGAAGGAGGGAGGGAGAGAGTGGTGGTGGTGCGCATTTCATCTCTCTGAAGTAGGCTACCTGCTTGTTCCTAGGTGGCAACTGTTGATTATGTAATCAGATTACATTTGACATTTCACTGTATTGGATTAAAATAATCCCATAACCAGTGGTTCATTTACACAAACACTGTACTTAACTTGAGGATATTTGTATTTCATGCTGCTATATACTTTCATTTTCACCACATTTCAGATGGAAATATTTCACTTTCTTTAGTTCGATAGTTACTTTACAGATTAAGGTTTTAAATTAAACATATTTATGACCAACCCAATATTGAAAATTAATGTTGGCATTGTACCTTTCTTCAAACCAAAGATATGTAACATTTGGAGGTAGCGGATATGTTGAAACTGTGTTTCTTTACCTTTCAACAGTGCTGTGGTTGTTATGTGGTTATGCTAAAACACAAAAAACACTTGGTTATGGTAAGAAAAAGTGTTGGAATGGAACACCTGGTTTCGGTGGCAAAATCAAGGCTGGAAATGCCACGGATGTCCCACTAAAAACATCTGATTTGGTCATAATATCATGGCTCTCAATGCCGTCAGTGTCTCACTACAGTCACAGCTGGAAATGCTGCTGATGTCTTGCTAAAAGCACCCAGTTTGGTGGCAAAATTGTGGAAATGCCATTGATGTCTGCTAAAAACACTTGATTTTAGTGGCACAATCTCGCTGGAAATAGCAATAATGTCTTGCCAAAAAACACCCAGTTTTGGTGGCAAAAATCATCTGGAAATGCTGCCAATGTCTCACTATTGAAAATTTGGTTTTGGTGGCAATAACATGTCTAGAAATGCCACCATGTCTAAAAAAACCAACTGGTTTTGATGGCACACTTACTGCTGGAAATGCTGCCATGTGCCGCTGTAAAAACATGTGGTTTTGGCTACTATCTCGCTATAAATACCTTTGGTTTTGGTGGCAAATATATGTCTGAAAATGCTACCATGTCTCGCTAAAAACACCCAGGTTTGGCAGCAAAAAATATGTCTTGAAATGCTGCCATGTCTCAGTACAAACACCCCCCGCCCCGGACATTGGTATATATATATTAAGGATGTAACGATATGGAAAATTTGATATCTCGATTATAGTGACCAAATTATCACGGTAAACGATAATATTGCGATATTTTTTTAAGCGCTGTAAAATGTCCAAAAAAATAAATATATTGAAATAACTTCACTAAATCTTGTAACTTTCTTATCATACTAAAATGTTAACAGCCAAAATCTTATATTAAAATGAAACTTTAACATTAAAGGGGCAAGGGATTGGCACAGCAACAGAAAAATTTATTTTAAATAACCAAAATATGTAAACACATTACAGGAGCAAAGCTTATTTGTCTGGTGCATTTTAACAGTAAGGAAAATATGTAAACAATTTATATATTAATTATTTATTAGCACGAGAGGAAAAATATATATAAAACCAAACAATGCAAGAGTAGAACAAAAGACATACAATATATAGAATAGATATCACAAATGTGCAGGAGAAACCATACAAACCCTAAGGGCAATGGTCATCATTACACAGAATAATTCACACATTAGAAGTGTGCATGTGAGTCAGAGGATTACCTGTATGACAAAAGGAGTGCATGCTCTCGGTCAAAGGTTAACACAGCAGCGTTTTATGTTGTTTCCTTGAGCTTATGTCAAGAAAGCACAATTGGCCGTCTATATCGATTCTAGCTCGCCATACAATAACCATAATCACAGTGATTCAATCAAAGTTGATCTCAGTTAGCGTTACGTTACGTTGGTTTATATATATTTATATATATATATATATATATATATATATATATATATATATAAATATTGTAGAAAAGTCCCAAACCTTACATTTATCTTGTGACCCTTTAAAAAAAGCCCAACCTGTACTACAGCAGTGAGGTCGAGGTTGGAAACCACCATGTGGAATATTAAATTTAGTACAAGAAGATCATTGTAACCTTTTTATTGATGCCATTATTATAGCACCATAAATCCATGTAGCATTGTTGTACTGAAGTTTTCAAAGCTTAAAACTGTTATTGGAGCAAAAGCAGCAGCAAAACGGTCTAAATTAATCCCCCATGGTAACATCACGAGGTTGGGTTATAGATTTTCATTATAAAACATATGAGAGCAAATTATTTTTATTATTTTTGTTATATTCTCATAATATTAACTTCAGCTAGAGAAACCATGCATCTACTGTATAGAATAGGAAAAAGAGCATATTGACCTTGCTTGTAAAACCAAATGTACAAACAGAGGACATGCTCCCAACCTTCTGCAAAGCCTTTTCTATGGCATTAACTGGCATTTGTCCCAGATATGGTGTCAAAAAAACCAACCTGTTTAATAAAGTCCTTATTTAAAAGCTGTGGGGCGGCAGATACTCAGTGACACTCTTCACACATCATTAATCTTCACGCTGAAGCTTTTTCAATTCAGCCTCTGATTTATTTCAGCTATATCACTGCAAAGTTGTAGTTTGCCATTTCTGACATTACATATTGATTCGAGATCAAAGGCACGGCAAGTTATTTATTTATTTTTTTTTTTTTGCTCTGATTTTCTGGGATCAAAATGGCACAGAAATGTCTTAACAACCTTCAGAAGGGGGTGAACTAGAAAGTATTTCTGTTGAAATTACACTTGTTTTATTTAGTGAAACTGGATCTAGAATGACTTGTCCTTGTCAAATTAAAGTTGGATGTCTGTATGGACTTTCTCAGGAAATAAAGTGTTGAAATTTAGGTAGTCAATATTCTTGTCAGCTGCCAATTAGTGCTCCATCCAGAGAAAACAAGTTAAATGATTTGCAGTCCTTATAACATCTGAAAACATTTGAAAATTTGAGTATATTTCAACATGCAAAGCTGTGTCCCTATTCCATACCACATACTTATTCTATTCAGGTTTTAAACAGGACCTATTTTGTTCATTTTCGGGTTCATACTGGTATTTTGGGTTTCTGCTAGAGCATGTTTGCATGCTTTAATATTCCAATAACACTTTATTTTTCCCATACGGTCTGTGCTGGAACACCTGAATTCACCCTCTGTCTGAAATGTTAGATTTAGCGGCTGTTTCTTTAAGCCCCCCTCCTGAAAAAGACTGGTCTGCTCTGAATGGTCAGTGTTTCCGGGTCTTTTGTATCTTGTTGTTTCTGCATTGTCATTGCAGCTGAGAAATGATTCTATATACATCTCTTTATACTTTATACTGTGGAAAAAATACCAATAAAAGCTTCTGAACCAAAATCTTCACTTCAAGACATCAGTAACCAAGATTACACGTTTCCATGATGTTAGCATGTAGCTACATGTAGCAGTGTATGTAATGTAAACACAACATAGTATAGGGGCACTTTGTATTGAGGAAAAATCCCAATAAAAGCTCCTAAACCAAAATCTTCACAACCATTACAACAGGAATACAGGAAAGCATAGCAGGAAAATTCAACATCTGCAAATAATTTTACATGTTTCACTGATGTTAGCATGGACATGTAGCAGTGTACTTGCAGCTGGGGCATACACACACAGACACACACACACACACACACATATATATATGTGTGTGTGTGTGTGTGTGTGTGTGTGTGTGTGGGTACATGGGTAGTATATCCATGGGTATAATAGGTTCCTTTAAGTGTATTCACACTAGTAAAAGGACACAAATAGTCAGTAAGCACAATTTCAAAAAACATTTGATTTTTGAGTGCAATGTTTGTACTGTTCTCCCACAATGGAGGGCAATTGATCACAGCTGCAAAAAAGTAAAAAAAAGAAAAGAGAGGGAAAGCTCCAGGCACTCAAAAAACTGCACTGCAATGCAACTGCATTAAACTCAATTACTGCTTCATTTCCTGTAAGAATAAAACAGCTTACTGTGCTGATTTCTTGTACACTACCTTATTAGTAGTAGTAGTACATTCATACATATAAGAGTACATGCAATTAGTATGTAGTATGGCAAACATGTAACCCTGCTGCCACCTGGGGTCACCAAAATGTGACTGTTTTAAGTGCAACTATAGTAAAACTCCATACTATCAGCGGTGGAGTCCTTTACTTAAGGAGAGTAGTTACACCAGTCTGTGAAAAATACTCTGTTAGAAGTAAAAGTGCTGCATTGAAAATATGACTTCATGTAATTATTAAAAAAAAAGAAAACCAAACAATAACAGCAACAACAAAGAAACAATGTATAGACTCATACAGAAGTAATCCCTCTCAGTCATCACTTGTGACCCACAAGAGGTGTGTGACGATGTATTTATCTGTGGAGACTCTGCCCTCTGTCTGTACTTTTCTGGTGTAGTGGGGGCAATACGGTATACCCACCTCTTTATCTGGTCATTTACAGTATACCCACCCATCAGTCAAAAAGCCATTGGTAGGCTATATATATGAGAGCATACCCACCTCCTCTCTGGTAACCTACCCATGGACCTGGTAGTACACCCACATCATCAGCTACCACTACACCACACAGTCCAGACTTCATAAAGAGGTAGCGACCAAGTATCAGACTGTGAGTAGCACACATACAAGAGGAAGCTATGAAAATCGTGAACACAACACCGAAACCAGAATCACCACTTTGTGGTTGTATGCCATTTCAAGCAAGCGGTTGTTCAGCCACTTCACAAAAAGCCCAATCTGGACCCCAATGTTCTTAGTAACTACCGGCCCATTTCCAAGTTGCCCTTTATATCTAAGATTCTAGAAAAAGTAGTTGCAAACCAGTTAGTGACAGTGTTGAACAGTTACAATATCTTAGATAAATTTCGGTCCGGTTATTGTCAGTTACATTCCACAGAAAGTGCTCTTCTCAGGGTCTCCAATGACATCATGATGGCCTCCGATGCTGGTAAATCCACTATCCTGGTTCTGCTTGATCTCAGTGCAGCCTTTGACACTGTTGATCACTACATCCTTGTAGTCTCAGGGACTGCTCTTCATTGGTTTAA